GGGTCAGAGCGCAGGGTCTGCCATTGTACGGCGCCCCTGGAGCAGTTGGGGTTAAGGGCCTTGCTCAGGGGCCCAACGGAGTAGGATTCCTCTGCCGGCCACAGGATTTGAACCGGCAACCTTCCGGTCACAGGCGCAGATCCTTAGCCACAGAGCCAAGCACTTTGAGTGGAGTGTCAAGAAAAGCACTATATAAGTGTAAGCAATTAGTATTATTATAAAACCTTCTTCCTTGAAAGGCCCCCCAAGACTTGAGAATCTTATTCTGGAGACTGGAGCGCCACTTAGCGGACACTAACGCAAACAGTTACGCAAAAAGCCGTGTTGTAATTCAGGAATCTGCCACAAGATGCCGCAAGAAACCTTTAATTCACTCTTACTGCCTGCCTCCCAAAATGCTGGTCGAGGTTTCAGCCAAAGAAATTGGTATTCAAATCTTTAAAATGTTCATTAACAAAAATGCTTTTGGTTGTTTGACTTGAATGCAGAGCGGTGAGTCTGAGATATTTTTTCTATCTGGCAATTTATATTTTTTGTAAACCCGAATTCTACGCTGTTAATTACACACCGGGTAAATATTTTCATAGAGCATTTAGTGCCACATCCCACCTAACACTGTCCATGCAAGCAAATTTGAGATAGAGGTGATGGTCACATCGTAACACATTCAAGCTGGAAACAGACTTGTTAACGAACTCGTCAACATTGAAGACAGGCAGCATGAAACCTTGCAAGAGCCCTCTTTTCAATTTCAATGTTTTTATCTTGCATGAGAACATAAGAAAGCAAGAACTGCTACAAACAAGAGGAGCCATTTAGCCCCATTAACTCATTAATTCCAAGGTCTCATCCCGGTGTTTCGTGAAAGAAGCCAATGTATCACCTTCAACGTCATGGCTGGGCAGCTTGCTCCACACACCCACCACCCTCTGTGTAAAGAACTGCCTCATTTTCTCATATGTGGCCTCGGCTTCCAGATTCACTTCAAATCGTTTAAAAAGCGAGGAAGAATGAAATATAACACACAAGCACAGGCAAGTGGGTCAATTTATTTTTGTAACATCCGCTCTGACAGATCCAGGCGCACTCACCTGAAGGAGGAGTCATGTGACCAGCGGGGGGGGCATGATGCCGCGGTGATTGACGCGGCTCTGCTGCCCTCAAGCCCCGCCCACAGGAAAGTGGGACTCTGTGTCCCAGAATCCCTCACCTGTGTCGGGCGCTCATGCCTGCAGGGGAACCAGGGACAGCAGAGGAGCGTTATTTATAAACACACCTGCAGCTACCGAGGCCTGAAGGGCAACGCCCTCAGTGCTGCAAATTAGGACAAGCTGTGCTGCGCTTCACATGAATCATAGTGTGTGTGTACACATGCACTTGGAGATGGAGAGAGGGAGGAGTGATGGAGAGAGTGAGAGAGTGGGGAGAGGACAGAGGGAGTGAGAGAGTGGGGTGAGAGGACAGAGAGAGTGAGAGAGTGGGGTGAGAGGACAGAGAGAGTGAGAGATGGGGTGAGAGTGGGGTGATAAGACAGAGGGAGTGAGAGATGGGGTGAGAGTGGGGTGATAAGACAGAGGGAGTGAGAGATGGGGTGAGAGGGTGGGGAGAGGACAATGGGAGTGAGAGAGTGGGGTGAGAGGAGAAAGAGTGAGAGATGGGGAGAGAGGGTGGGGAGAGGACAGAGGGAGTGAGAGACAGGAAGAAGACAGAGGGAGTGAGAGATGGGGTGAGAGGGTGGGGAGAGGACAGAGGGAGTGAGAGACAGGAAGAAGACAGAGGGAGTGAGAGATGGGGTGAGAGTGGGGTGAGAGGACAGAGGGAGTGAGAGATGGGG